CGGTCGGGCATGTCACCCGACTTTTCTACACTGTCTGAGGTAAAATTTCCTGCAAGCTTACCATCCCCATCTGGCAAGGGATCGGCTTCAGTGGCATCGTCATCCTCGGTAGATGCTGAAGYGCCGTCCAGGATCTGCAAAATAAAATGTGTGTCGGGCCAATGGGTCGGTCCCCTATGCCAAGGTCCGTATACAATTAATATATGTACATATAATAATACCGGCAAAACGAGTTTCCACCAAAAGTAGACCTTTCCTTTTTTCACCAATACCCGTATCCACCAATATCCGTTATGAGAATGAGATCTACCTATAATTTAACCACGGTTAATTTACCAAAATAATTTTTATACTACGCTTATATTAAAATCTTTAATACAGTAATAAGTTTATTTAAAATACTAATGCTGGATTGAACAAATGTCAAATGATATATTAGTGTATTTAATTATGTATATATTGTGTCTACTTATATAGATAATTGGTTGATATTTTTTTTTCAATCGTAGAATATAGTAGTATACAATTGTTTTTGTAAAAATGTGGTAAATAATTTTATTTGGTGGAAACGGAACGGATATTGGTGGAAACGAGTGAGTATTGGTGGAAAAGGGAAAGGTACACTTTTGGTGGGAACGGGCATCGCCTTATAATAAAACATACATACATGCGTTATTGCGGTTTGTTCATCTTAGTCGTATTAAAATCAATTACAGAAAATACGTCATTTCCTTACCAGAGCTCTTTTCTTCCAATCAAAATCTCGCAAAGCCAGTGGTATACTGAAGCATCTGGAAATTCTTGTCGTTACTAAACACCACTCAATAAAGCGATTGTTACTTAGGAAAACTTGCAAACCTTGCTCATACAAATGTTGACATGAAAAATGACTTCTTGTTTGAGTATAATATTATTAAGTTAGATTTATATTGTAACTTTCAGTGCAAATTTTTATAAGATACCTACACGTAATCTCAAAAGTTTTTGGTCAAAACTATTTCAGATAATTATGTAACAAATGTATAAATCGATTGAAATATTTAAAATAAATAGACACAAAATATTATAGTGATAAATTAGTTTGATTAACGGCAAAGAAGCATTGCATTAAAATTAATGAAATAGTACCTAAATACAAACATGACATTGAAATAATATAACAAATATAGTTTAAATTAAATTAACAAAAAAAAAAATAATCATGCCTGTTGTATAATATAGACAGTCCTAAGCCTGTAAAAGTGAGAAATATAATCTTAAACATCATTTTTTTTAGTTCTTTTGGGTTTTAATACATACACTTTTGATATAATTTATGTACTCAAATAGTCCTACGTTTTGAGCCATTAATCACAAGTATTACAAATTCGTGTGCGCAATTGAGTTTTATATTTTTCCGCAAACAAGTCACAAAAAAGGTTAAATGTACTCAAACGGGTATCGCCCAGTGTGATTGGCTAATTGCGTTTCTTCGGAGGCACACTCATAGTTTGTTAATATTGCATCACGAGGTACTTTATCTTGACTCTCTAGTTTCTACTTTTTACTGGATAATATAACGAGTTCAATTGTCATAACCGGCAGGGCTCTTGTTACAAACTGGAAGGAATGTGGAACCACAATGACGTGATGTTACAATACCTATGACATTTATAAATATTTATTTTAAATTAGAAAAAAACAACAATTTCAAGACTTTGGGTCTGTGTGCGTTAAAATATGTGCTCTTCATCAACGTCTACTCGTTTATACTTATAAACAAAAAATTTATTTGTACGTGGTACTATCTCAGTCTCATGACCAATCTAGACCATTATTTAGGAAAAATAACGAAAATATGAAGATGGTACAGGATAACTTATATATTAATATATAATTCTCTTCTTAGAATTTATATACTTTAATAAAATWKAATATAATATAATAATTGTTTAAATATTTAAATTAAGTCTTTTGTCGAATTTTGCGTTATAAAAAACGCAAACGTGATCTAAATACAGACAAAATTTTTTGTGGTAAATATTCAGCAACATTAATAATGAACTTTTCTTTTCAAGCATGATAAAATATTATTTATTAAAATGATAATATTAATAAATGTATAAAAAAAATCATGCAATTTGTGAATATTTGTTACTTTTTCAAACATAAATACTTTATTTAAAAGCATGGACTTTATATAGAGACTTTATATATAGATTCTTTATAAATAAATATACGAGAAAGTTTCATTGATATCTGGTTTTTGATTTTTAAAACATGGAATATTAAATTATTTTTCGTTTGAACGAAGGAAACTATTGGGTAAAGAGTTTGTTTTTATTTTATTTTAATTTATATTTAGTATTAAATACRAGTTATTTGATTATGTAAACTATAATAAATTAAGCGTAGGTACCTATTAAAAGTATATTCCAGCACTTCTCGCACTGGTAATGCTTCGAGTTATTTTGAAAACGTACAATTTTATTTAAAACTCTCTCAAATTTTGATTATATTTACTATTTACTCAATGGTGTAGATTAAGGACTTAGTAAATTGAATAACAGTTTGAGGAACACTACATAAATAAATCAAACATTAAGGAAAATATTTATTCAAATAATATGGGTATAAAAACTTTTATACATTTTTGAGTTTTGACCTGAAAAAATATGTCAATTAATAATAATCTAAACATAATATTTATACAAAGTGAATGTCTTAGAAAGCTCAACCTATTTGTATGCCTAAATTATGCATACATTCTAATTCTGACTTTTGGAATTTTGAAATACGCTTGAATACAATATTTTTGAATCCTTGAAATTTTTAGTACCACTTGAAATGATTTTGCTATAGTACTAATTTCTGTTTTTAAGTAGAAACCGCCCTTTTTCATTTTTAATACTAAACAAATATTTTTATTTGAAAAATTCGATGTTTTAATGTATCTAAATCAAATTTGAGTTAGTAATTTTTGAGTTACATATTATATGACTATTTGTTCTAACTACTAAGGATAATATACCTTTGATAATGACTAATGGGTTAAGTAGATAAAAGGGTAAAGACTATTTAAACAAGTTGGTAATCATATTAAATCAGTATAAACATTTTAATAATTCAGAAGATATTCATTAGAATTTTGATTTACATACGTGATGGGAATGTTCAAGAAAACCATCCTGATGATCGTACTGCATAGAAATCACGCTGTATAATATTTTTTTATTATTTCTTAAATAAATTAACAGTATCATTGATCATTGCGTAATATTGACAAAATTTAATTGTATTAAATATAGAAGTATAAAGATTGCATAAATGATCATATTTTAAACATTAYCAGAGTACTAGATAGATTATACGGTTGGAAGAATTTTTAATATAAGAGATGTCTTGTTCAGTAGATTGACGATAAATTTGATTGCGATGGAAATAGTTGGTTGAGAGATTCTGAAAGCTCATATTTTTTTATGTCATAAACTGCAATAACATGTCATATATTTGCAATACTGACTCCATAGGTAAGTAGGTACCTAGTGCATATCGGGGCGTCTTCTTTAGCCATTCAGAAACGTTTTGACTTGTAACAAATATGTCATCTGCGTACGCTGCCAAAAATACTTGTTTTCCTTGTCCTATATTTAAACATTGTGGCTCGTTTTGCAATACTTCTTTAACTACCATGCGCGATGTTAAATAGGATCGGAGATAGAGCATCACCCTGTCTTACCTCCGTGATCACTGCTAATTCCTTTGATAATACCGAGTTGAACTTAACTTTGCACCTTGAGCTTTCCATACACGCTTTCACCATCCTAACGAGTTTAGCTGGTGTTCCAAGTTGGACCATTACATTCTATAACTTACTTCTAGCTATCGAATCATAGGCTTGTTTAAAATCTACAAATAACAGGTACACATCTTTATCAAATTCATGACTTTTTTCGGTTATTTGTTTGATGACATGTATTTGGTCTGTCGTGGATTTTTCAGTTGTAAAACCTGCTTGGTATTCTCCTACTATCTCTTTAGCATACGGTTTTAGCCTATTTAAAATTATGTTCGAGAGAACTTTATAAGTTGTGTTAAGCAGGGATATACCTCTATAGTTTTGACAGTTCATTACATCTCCTTTTTTATATATTGGGCATAGTATGGAAACCTGCCATGCTTTTGGTATTGTTACTACTTACTTCTCTCCATATTTTATTTATCAGCTGTTTTAAGTTTATCATAAGAGTAATTCCTCCTTACTTTAAAAGTTCCGCTATTATTGTATCTTCTCCTGGTGCCTTCCCTCCCTTTAGCATGTCGACCGCCATTTTAACCTCTTCCAACGTGGGTTCTTCTAAATATTGCTCTACTGTGATAATGTTATTGTCTTCCGCTTCTGTTTCGGTTGATATATTCAACATTTGTTCGAAAACCTTTTTTGAATTCTCTTGTTACTTCTTCCTTATCAGTTATTAATGTTCCTTGGTCATCTTTCATTATCGTTGATCTTGGTTTAAATCCGTTTTTAACCTCATTTGCCTTTTCAAAGAATAGTTTTGTGTTGCTTTTGTAGCTATTTTCGATAGTTTCTATTCTAGTTTTCTCCCACATTCTTTTGTTTTTTTCTGATTATCTGCTTTGCTCTTTTCTGTTTTAAGGCTAATTCTCATTTATTGRCTTCACTTGGATTCCTTGACATTGTTGTTCTTGCATCGTCTCTTTCTACCATGGCAATCCTGTATTCTTCGTTAAACCATTTATTTATTGCTCGTTTTCCTTGATATCCCAGAACTTCCTCTGCTATTTTCTTGACCGACTTCTCGGTWTTTTCCCACATCTAATCTATACTGCTCGCCTTTTCCGCTGGCCGCATTATATCATTTAACCTATTTTTGTACTGTTCTGTCGTCTGAGAATACTTCAGTGGTTCAACGTTTATCTTTTTGACAGGTGCTCTTCGCTCTTTCCATTTTATTGATAGTCTTATTCTGAGTTTGGCTTTCACCATGAAATGGTCTGATATTTCACTACTACCTCTCATGCTACGCACATCCATTATACATCTTTTAAATCTACCATCTACTACTACGTGATCTATCTGGTTTCTCGTTCACCCATCTGGYGAAACCCATGTCTGTTTGTGTATATTTTTATGAGGAAAGGTAGTGCTACTTACTACCATATCTTGTGCCATAGCAAAGTGTGTAAGTCTCGTCCCATTGTCATTTGAGTTCAAATGTAGGCTATTACTCCCTATTGTCGGGCTGAAGATTGGTTCTTGATCTATTTTAGCGTTAAAATCACCAAGTAATATTTTCACTTTACTATTTGGTAGTAAGTCACACACTGTGTCCAGTCTTTCATAAAATTCATTCTTAATTGCTTCATTCTTATCCTCAGTAGGTGCATAGCTGTTGATTATAACTAAGTTATACCATTTACATTTTAGTTCTAGATAGCATATTCTATCATTAATTGCTTCAAAACGTTTTACGTTAGGTAACAGTTTGTCGTTTACCACAAAGCCAACCCCTGCTTGATGATCCAGTCCACCACTAAAGAAGTAGGTATAATTATTTGTTTTTAGGTTTCCTTGCCTTGGTCATCTAGTTTCTTGAATCGCAGCTATATTCAGTTTATATCGTTCAAGACTCGATATAACTGTCGTCAAATGTCCAGCCCTATACAACGATCTTACATTCCAGGTTCCTATCAAAAAGTCCTTTAGCTCCACATATTTCATCAGAGGCGATTTTGGTTGAGTCGTAACAATGTGTGTTTTTCCGTGTAGGGTTGTTAGTCCTACGACAACCTCCATTAATGGAGGGCCCAACAGTTTTGAGGTTGCTTCAGAGTATAGATTTTGATACACCTTACTGACCTGAGAGTCATCTACGTGACCTTCAGGCTGCAACCTCAGTTAACTAGGAACCGCGGGTTCGTTAAGCCCGTTTCTCTTTACAGAGTACCCTTGYGAATAATATTCCAAGTATATAGAATTAATATCCAAAACAGAAACAACGTTGGAGAGAACAACAGATAGGTACAGTGCACCGGTTAATCACCCAATACATAGTACCGAATTTTACTAAAACATTGAGTAGGTTTACTGTATCCAACTAATCAAAATAACAATGTATTGGAATTGTCATTACATATCACTACATTAGATAGGTACCTTTATCGTTTACGATGTTCTTTTTTAAATAAATGATTTTGATTTTAAGTGTAATTAACTTCATTTTTATTAGGTATTACTTTTTTAATTATTAGTAAATAGTAATAATCGGTATAATATTGTTTTATAATGGAAAATACTGATATTTAATCAAGAATGGTTTTAGATTTTGAGAGCAATGATATTTTGCGGTATCATTTATATTTTTTTATGTAAGTACCTACCTATAAATCTTTATAATTTTTGAAACGATAAAAATGCTTCAATCTTCAACTTTGAATCATGTARGTAGTTTCTGATAAAAATCTTATCTAAATATTTAAATATCATTCAATACCTTGGATATTTTAATGGGTTAACATTTAAAATATTCCTAGTAATTTTTAAAATTTTTAAAATAATCAGAAAATAAATACTAAAGATAGGAATATTTGCGAAACTCCAGTTTCTCACTAAAAWGGTTTTTATACGATTAAAAAAAAATAACCATAAAACCTCGTATTTTTTACAAAATATTTATATAAGACATCTTTTAAACAATTTTAAATTATTTTATTATTTTGATTTGTCAATTTTTGTTCACAAATCATAAAATAATTAATATTATTAAAAATACCATCTCCATAAGGAATTTTTTTTTTATATGCAATCATTTATCATTTAACTCATKTATCATATCTATCACAKTGACATACTCAATGACGAGGCATCMTCAACTCCTAGTGAACTGCATAGCGAATACCTTATTTCCCTATCGTTTTATTTGTTAATCTACAATAGTCACATCAGTTATTGAATTATAAATGCACCTATTTAAACGCATGTCACATATTTTTTTCTTATTAAGCAAAATTTAATTTAATTCGTGTAATTATAAGAATCTTATATATTAAATTTGTGTTTGAATGAAAACAAAATGCATGAAATGTAATTATTGAATTAATATTGGATGTCCCATTTAATTATTAAAGTGTGTGAGACAACGTTAATCAATTATATATCGATTATTTTAAATCAAAAATATGTAAATTAATAATTGGTAGAGGGAAATTGAAATAATACATGGTGAATAGTCATTACCSTAATATCTTTTCTTTCTAATATGTACCCACTTATAACCGTTACAGATATAAGTACAAGTACMAGTACAATAATGTTGATTGTTATTATGATACGTATTTTTAAAGTTAATTGTGTTTTGATGTTTAATCATTTTAATTTTTAATTAAACTACAACTAATTACAAAAACTAAATAGTCTACATATTGTTCAGTTAAATTATTTCAGATTAAAGTTCAGATTCATATTATTTGTTATTTTAATTATTTTYWTTAATTTTGGTAAACATTTTTCAGAAGTAAATGGTGATGGCAGATTTCAGCCAATATTAAAATCATGTGCATTGGAAGAAGTGCCACCAAACCTTATTCTATCATTTAAAAATCGGATTATCATAGTGAGTATTTTTCTATGCCTAATAATAATAAAAATAAACAAAATGTTTTTATCAGATATCAGATAATAATATGATATATCGACGAATATCTCATAGAATTATAATATACGATCTATGATGAATGAAGATTAGAATAAGGAGATCAAACTAGTACGGCTACCCGCATGAAAAAAACACAAATAAACACGTATGAATGAGTAATTTTACGAACTATTCAATTTATAATGGGTCATGGTTCGAAATATATTTTACAAAAAACATGAATAATCCCTATACTACGTGTGTTACAGTAGTAACCTTGGCATACGCAGYGCCACCTGTGGCTGTTTAATCGTGCGACTCATTTCGGGACATTGTCAAAAGCGGAGTTGGGTCTCCTTATTATGGTCTTCGTTATACAATCATTTATAACTCATCATATTATATAAATGATATGATAGTCCATTTATAAATATCTATAAAGTAGGCAACTTGGGATTTTTTTAATAAATCATTTTACGCAGGTACCTAACCAATAGATGTATTAAAATTATTTAATTTTAAAATGTTCAAAAGTGTTGATCTTAAGGTAAATTAATTTCTCTGCTAACAATCTATACGTGAAATTTAGATTAAGTTATTAGCTTATTATTATAGTTTATTGACCATTAAATGGTCCGAGCCCGGGCAAAAACATTATTAGGGCTTGGATTTAAATGTTCTCGAAATATCAAAAAATGCATTATTTATTAAATAAATTCAAATTATTATTAAAAAATGAGTAAAATATAAAATTATATTTGCATTATAATGTACAAAAAAAAATACTATAGTTAAAAAATAAGTAAAAAATTAAATTACATTTGCATTGTATTGTACAATAAGAATTTCTTTAATGTTTTGGAATTTAAATGATCGACGGTTGTCTGCCAATAAGTTTTTATATACTGAAAATGACCTCTCTAAATCAACTAATGTGATAGGAGCAAACTTGAAAAATTTCAGATCGTTAGGTGTTAAGTCTTCTGGAATAATATTTTCTGGATTAATATCTCCTTCTCCTTCTAATATTTGACATATTTTTTTTATTTGGTTAAAGCTTTGACCACACATAGAGCTGCGTCAATCAAAAAAAGTAATACCATGTCATGTTTTATTCTTGTTGGTCACAAAGTTAAGAGAGATCTATCAAATAATTTCGCGATTGTATTATGGTTCGCTCTTTCTAAAACATCGCTATTTAGTAAAAATTATTTTCCGGGCGTATCTACCAGTGCCGTAATAACTAGCTTTATGTGCGCCCTTGGCAACCAATGTTATAAATTTATAATGCATTTTTAGTATTTATATGATATAAAAATTGCACCCTTAGTGGCCTAGTGCGATCATTTTAAACTGCGCCCTTGGMTACCGCCCACCTTGCCAATGCCTAGATACGGCACTGGTATATCTACTTCTTAAGTTCCAACTATAACGTTTACTACGTAACGCCTTTCTACATCAGTCGTTTCGTCTATAGAKATCCAAATATTTGTATTTTGTATATTATACTGTCTAATTTTTATAAGTATGTTTTCATACATTTTTTATTTGTATATTGTACTAAAATTTCGCGAAAAGCTGGTTGATTCAATTTATACAGTGGTATATTCGTAGATAGAAATACATTAGTTTAGTCTTCAAAGAATGGTGATTTTCGTACTGTTAATACATTTTGAATTTTGGTACCTAAAATTTGTAGTTGTAATCCTTGTTTGTGCTTATCACGTAATACATATTAAGTAATTGTAACCTTTTTTACAGCGTCAACTTTCATCTCACATATTTTACAAAATAAAATTTGACCATCCGTAGAAAACACATCACTACCAATTCTCTTACGTATCCATGAAGTTTGGTCCGAACATGGTATCCTTATTTTTATTTTTATACAAATATAAATAATATACGTAAAATATGTAACATGTGAAATACATCTGCAGTAAGTACTTTCGACGTAATACGCAACACGACTAAAAACGTCCGAGTCCGACAATCGGCCACGCGCACCACCGATATTATAATATCATAGCTCGATAAGAAAATACTCCGATAAAAGTTTAGTTGTATATGCTATAACATCGGCTTATTGGATGGTGTGACATACGTATTGTCTGATTTAAAAGCGGATTACCTGATGTTAAATAAGTTAAAATAGTTAAAAATGAAAATAATTTATATCACATAGTACTATATTAATATGTAATACCTACTTATATTTCAATGAGGTCAATTTTTTTAGTCATAAAACGAGAAATAGGTCAAAAATGTCCTAAAAAATTAAAAATTAATTAAAACGTAAAAATGCCCTAAAAAGCATAAAATCTGCTAAAATGCAAAAAAAAAACAAAAAATGTTTGTGGTTAGAACGCGAAGTACTTGAAACATATTTGTAGCTTGGTAAGTATCGCGTAAGATACCCCCCAAAAAATATGCAAAGGTATTGAAATCCAAGCCCTGGTTATTATATTATATTATTACTGTATAGATAGTTTATACGGGTTTAAGCAATTTATAAGTCATGAAGTAATGTATTATTCACAGCTCACATTGTTTAGAAATGTAATTATACCCTACAATGCAAATAAAATGTATTTACCTAATACAATTAAACACTGTTAAACGGTAATATCAGGTATCAAATATATGGATTAATCAAAACTTTATTTTAATGGATACAATTTATAGGTTATTACAACCACGTAAATATCTTGTAATTAACCTTATTCCTATCATAATATTACGTACTTAATTAACATTTATGTATACAATCATAATATTCGTCATTTAATTGTTTAAACAGTAAATTAAATAAAACTAATTTTTAAGTCCAAATAAATATATTCAATTTAATAGTTAATATATTTCAAACAGCATACAGCGTTTCTATGCACAAGGTTCATTCCAAAAATGTACTTAATACCAAATAAATAAAAAATAAAAATACGTTTTTGGAGTAGGTTAGGTTAACCTAACTGCTGCTCTGATTAAATTTCAAATCTTTAAAGGTGCAAAATGAAATGTCTGAGACAATTGTTCAAGAAAAATTTAAGAAACACAATAAAAAATGTAAAACAGATATACATTTTAAAAGTCCTTGATGATAAAAAAAAATAGTTTTAATTCTATTCTAACTMATCTTTATGTCTATTTGTTTGGTAATATATATTTATATAATAGTATAAGAAATAAGAAGTATGATTAATGATATGACTGCTTATATTTTTTTAAGTGACAATGTATAATTTATATACTTATGCAACTAACAATAAACTTAAAGTGACGTCACACATTTAGATTTAATCATATGCAATGCAGAATGTTAAAAAATACAAGGCGATGTGCATGCGAGAATTGAGACGTAAACACGTTTTTTTGAGAAACATACTTCTTATTTATTTTACTGTGATATTACATTATTATATATAATATCATAATATAATATATTTCAACAGAAATTAGGATATATAGTTTGATGTGGAATGCTATTATTTCACTAAATATTATTTTTTGAGATTAGGTAGATATAGATATTTTACATAGCTTCATTTTTCCGTTTTAATTTTTGTTCATCTTGAGCAATATATTCTTAAATATATTATAAAAAAATGCATATTTAATGGGTCATCTGTGAAAAGGTGCATTATAACATTTAAAACCTRAGCCAAACAAAACGGTTTTATAAAAATTAAAATATGCACTCTCATTAATGATATCAACAATTTAAATCTAGATATAATTATTACATTAATTGCAAATCACATACGAATTGTCAGATAACTTATGCAGTTATGCATACTATATGCAGTTCGTATATATTATTAAATGAAAACGTTTAAGTTTTAAATTTTAAAATTTTGTTGAATCTATAATGAATCAAATAATTGAATATTTATAATTAACACACAAAAAAAATGAACTTGTTATAAATAATGAATAAAGCCCTTATAACTTATAAATAATACTCCTATTTAAATGTTTCGATTTACAAATAGTTAGGTTGTTTATGTGCAACATAAATGATTCTGACAATATAGTATCCATACGGGCTCAGCACTATTAATTACAACATGTTACTCTATATAATATAACTCTATAGCTATTTACAGACACTTTTAAGTTTCTGCCAAGATAACTATTTGTCTTTCAGACAAATGTATATAATCAGTAATCACTAATAATATCTACATTATAAAATATTTGTTTTGTTATTTATAAGTATTATATTAATACTGTCTCATATCATAAATTATTCAATTTTCTTAATAATTCAAAAAAAAAATAATATTTGAATTATGGATGGTATATTAATATGAAACAATTTGTGTTGGCAATGAAATCATATTTTTAATACATAATATATTTTACTATACAATTAACTATTCCACCTATATTGCAGTACATCATTATACTCTTACAAGTTATAAGTGTTAATATCTTGTTGAGTACCGAAATAGGTACCTGACTTAGTGGCTATGTAAATCTATCAACCTAGTATGTACAATTTACTATAAATAATTGTAATATTTTCGTTATAATATTATGGCCATCAGTATCATGTTTAATTATTATAAAATAAAAAGCAATATTACTTGAATTTAATATTTTATTACTGCGAATTTATTGTTAACTTTTAAACAAAATAGAAATGAAATAGCCTCAGTTCGTTGTTAGACTTCGCACAGACTACACGTACCTTATCGCGTTTCACGAGTACCGTTTTAAAGCTCTGATAGCAACATAGTACACACTCACTATATCACAGGTCATAATATGTTCGTTATTTATACTTTTAGCTAATATATAACTACATCCGGCGGGCGCAAGCCCATCTCATCAAAATGTTTACAAAACCACTGGCTGTAAAAAACCCCTCCATTTGTCAATTACCTCAATCAAATAATGCACAAAACAAAAAAATAAAACGTCACCTACTACTACACTCAAAACCACACCCAAACCAAATACGCAAAAAATCACAT